CTATCCTGGTCCGCACTAAGGCAGGTGAGTATTACGTTAGTGTTCCGTGAGGCTTGTCTGGCGATGCAGTGGAGTTGGCGTGCTTAAGGAGGGTTTGACAAGACTAATCTATTTGATAGACTAACTTGTGACAATCTTGTTAAGTAAAGATACTAGTAAGAAAGTACAATTTGAGTTGACCACAACGAGAGTAATAATGAAATCCATCCATCCTTATATCCTCATTGCTTCCAGTCCTGCCATCCCGTCCATCCCATTTTCTTGCTCCTTGGCGGGATGTCTGTGATGGCATGCCATCCCTAATCCCATTGCCATCCCATGCTTGGCGGGATGTCTTGTCTTGGCGGGATGGCACATCACGTGACCCCAGGCCCCGCGATGATCATTACCTTCTGACGTGGACGTCCATAAGCCTTCAGCCATCTCGTCATTTGTCAAGGAGAGGATCCTTCTTGTTACTTGTAACAAGAGTACTATGTATTAATTTGAAATAGAGAAATAAAACCCTAGTCTATAACTTAAATATCTTCTAATTATTAATATAGATTAAGTTTAAGAGAATTGTAATATATAACTACTAAATTTTGTATAAGATTATACATGGTTATAAGATAACGTGACGGATAAGCGAGTCGGTCAGGCAAGCGAGTCGGTCACCTCACTAACTTTGCGCACCTCTACAAGCGTATAGCTCTACCACATTATATTAGTTTTGATAGATATTAACGTAATAGATTAATTACTATCTAGAGTATCTTTCTTGCATGTACGTGAGTTATGGCCAGTCTCTCTGCACCTACTACAGCGCGCTAGAGCCTGGCGGCTGACACCTGATCGCTCTCCTCCCTGACGCTCCTCACGAGTAATCTGCTCATCAGCCTCACGTTGAGCGAGTATATCCTCTCCAGCTCCCTTTATAAGGACTCCACGCTTCTATATCCGCTTCTTCTTACGCCGCCTACGCTCTGATACTACTATATTAGCTCTCTTAAGAGTAGCAATCCGATCGCGCATTAACTCAGCCGAGAGTATCATTACTTCTGCCCCCTTCTTAAGCTAGTTAATTACCGCAATAATTAAAGCTGGCGACGAGTCTTAATGCCGCTAAACGCGATCACGTATTAATGTTAATTAAGCTTCAAGCTCGCGTGCGTTGCTAGGCGTACGAGCCTACCAGAGAGCCTCTGCTAGAATAGCTAGAGAAGTAGGCGTACGCAGCTGCACGTTAAGCTTTAACAGAACAGCGTCTGGCTAGAGAGGGACAAGGCCTGCGCCTCAAAAAGCTAAGCAGATATTAGCTGCCGTAAAGGATCGATCAAAGGCTGCCTTAAACGCTGGCAGAAACTCTAGCTTAGTGATGTAGTTAATATAGTTACGTATTAGGCTCTCCACCTCACGGCTATACGCGCGCTTTAACGGTGAGAAACAGCCAACGTTAAGAGGCTAGAGTAGGTAAGAGGAGTAGAGCGGCATACAGAGCGTATATATATTATTCTCCTTACAGAGCTCTTAGAACTTAAGAGACTAGTGGCTCTTATAGCCATTAAGAATAAGCAGCCGGCGTGCCCCAACGACCTTGCTATCTGTATGCTTAACAAAGTGCTTTAGCCACTCAACTCCTAGCTCATTAGTGGTCCAGCCGTTGTCACTAACTGCGATCGCCCAGTCGCGTAGGATCTCTGCCTCCTCGTACCAGGCAGATAGATAATACTTGCTAGTAAAGATAAGGAATGGTAGGATAAACCAGCCAGCTGCATTGATCCCAGCGATAAACGTTACCCACTCTCGGCCACCTGGCTGGACAGCCTTTGGCCGGCCTCGTCTCTCTAAAGCTGTAACGATAAGCTGAGTAGTAATTCTGCCTATTAAAAATCTAGCTTCGTTAAAGTTATAGACGTCCTCGTCACAAATACTGTACTTAGCCTTTGTCTGCTCTATAAGCTCAAACCAGCTCTTAATTAAGACTAGATCTTCACATAGAGCTCTCTGCCTATCGTACGCCTAATTGAAACGCGTCGTAAGACTGTCTATACGCTTAACAAAGTTAGCTGGCCACTTTTACCCAACCTAGCTAGCGCCGCGCGCAGCTAGCAGCTTATCAGCCATATCGCGTACAGCAGCGTACGTAGGCGCAAATCCACGTGAATTAAGATTAAGTATATAATCAACTATTACCTCCTCTTCTAGCTTAGTTAGCTTCTTTAAGTTGGGCTGGTAATCGCGTCGCGCGCGCTTCCCAGCGCGTCGGTCAATTAGTATTAATTTTAGAATATTAAAGGCTATAGTAGCGCGTCGGGTACTCTAGATTTGGTTTCTATCTAAAGAAGAGAGAGCAAGCTGAATATCTGCCTCATGAGAGATTGACTGAGAAGCGTGGCTTGGAGGCATTGTACGCAAAGGTGTGGTGGGTGATCGAAGTTGGTGGGGTGACCGACTCGCTTGCCTGACCGACTCGCTTATCCGTCACGTTAAGTTAAAACTATGTACTTAGAACTTAAGTAAAATCTATTATGTAATCTATAAGAGCGTATTACCTTATAATATATACTATAGCTTTATATAATATACCTAGTTACTTAGTACTACTAAGAATTACTAATTACTAAGTATTTAATAGGCTAATATATAGAGTGCATATTTACTCAGTAGTACTATGTAAAATATACTAATTACTAACTATTATATATATTACGCAATACGATAGTTCTAAATAAGTCTTATTTTTTCTTACTATAGTGTGTCTATTGTAATAGGCTGCGCTCCCGAGTAGAATACGTAACTATATTACGTATTCTCTTTATACTACTTAGTTACGAAATCTTATTTATATAAAGGAACCTAAGGTAAGAGTATACAGCGAGAGACATCGTACGATAGCTTTACTTTCTTTATCTTTTTCTTCTATAATATAGGTTAATGTATACTCGTTTGACGGCCTCTTCGCCCTTAATAGCTATTATATACATATTTTACTACTTTGATTATAATAGCGGCGGAATATTCCTCTCTTTCAATAGTATGATTGTAATAATATAATACTAAAAGTCTAATTTTACTTTTATACTAGATATGTACTTAATATCTATCTCTTCTTTTTTTATAACTACATATAAACATAGCCTAAGTACTAGTACTCTCTATATCTATTTTTCTGTTAACAACTTAGTAGTAAAATACGTTAGTTAAATCTAGTTTATTCCTTTATAATCTTATGAATTATCGATTCTATAGCTCTCAAATTAGTACTATAGAAGTATCGGCTGACATTCTCTGTGCCTGTCTCTCTGCAATATATATCCTTTACCTCCGTCTCCGCCATGCATGGGACATCTCGCGCACCTCAACCGTCATAACACCAAACCGACCCTTAACATCATTTTCGCATAAAGTGAAACACCTGAAATCTTTCAAACGTAGCAGGCTTAAGACCGCAGTAACATTTACAAATCATAACGATCCATGAAGTGAGGACGTTTTACATCCGACGGGGACTAATGTTGGGGTAGACAAGGATATTGATCTAATTTTTAGAAGACACAGTTCGCATTTGCATTCAACAGCAATGAATAGAGTCGCTGAAGCGTTAGCATTTAATCTATATTCCGTTCCTGAGATTGGGGATGGAGAGATTCTTGACGGCATGGAGTTAGAGATGTGAGAATAAGATAAGGGCCTAGGTGAGTTGGCGCATACTTGAGTCCCTGTCTGAAATCAACACGGTCTATTTCCAAAGCTGATAAACATAAAAGAGCCCTACTGTGAAAGCGGGCCTTAGGTTTCCCCGCAGCCGCTCCATCTTTAGTCAGATTGAATCTCTCCGAACAAGGTCGCCGCTAGTTTCTTTTACATCAAGGTGTTGAATTTCTTTTTACTAACTACGTTAATTAGCTATCTAAGATGGTTAGGGATCGTCTCTCCTATAAAAATATAGCATATTGCTGTGAATAGTATTAAATACACGATGGTCTTTGCATGTGAACTGAGATGAGATGGAAAGATAGATATACTCTGATGAGATGGATGATAAGTCGATGGCCCTGTATGCGAGGTTCGAGGGTTGGTTTTGTCAATATTGCTACACCAGCGCTTGCTTATTGTTACAATCACATCAGCTACCCCCCTCACGAATTCCCTGTCAGTCTATATTCCACTAGGGGGCCTTTTATCTGAGACCTGGCAATCTGACAGATAGCTCGACGAAAAGAGGTCTCAGGTGTGAAGACGGTTCGAGGAAGGTGCTGTATTTTACGAGATTTCTAAGCTAAGGAAAATAAGAGAGTGAAGTACATCAAGAGAACGGCAACAAAAATCAAGCAATCTAAAGAGCGGTAGTGCTCAGTGTGGGAGTAGATGAGGGGACCAAGTACGAATCTTAGTCTCCTCAACTGAGATGCAACCAGAGGCGACCTCATTTAGTAGCCAACCGGGCCCTGACGTTCAGCAGTGGCCTGACCCACAGACCGAACTGCAGCAGGTTGTTGAAATCGTTGCCGGTCCAGTCCAAATCAGGATTCTCCAGTTCCATGTCGAACGTGTAGAGCATCTTGGCGATTGTCACACGCACTTCCATCAACGCGATGCTAAGATTGGAACAAATCGTTAGTCGGACTTTCTCTGTATATGTAGCTCAAGGGGGTACAAGGGTATGGAACTTACGCTTTTCCTGCACATCCGCGGGTACCGTACGAAAAGGGCTGGCTCGCTTCCAAAATGTCACCGCTCTTGCCCAACCACCGCTCCGGCTTGAACTCCAAGGGATCTTTGAAATTGAGCGGGTCGAGTGCCGCGACCATAGGAGCGATGGTAACTGGAGTGCCTCCCGGAATGAAATGCCCATCGACGGTGTCGCCGCCTTTGGGAACTAGACGAGGTAGGATGGGTGGTGCTCCCGTCGGGAGACGCAAGCCCTCAAGACACACGCGATGGAGAAGTTCTAGCTTTTCGGTGGAGGCATTTGTAATCGCGTCAGCATTAGGGAAAGCCGCGCGAATCTCGGCAGTGAGTTCGGCCAGAAGCTTTTTGTCTCGCAGTAGGTAGTAAGTCGTGGATGTCATCACTGAAGCCGTTGTCTCTGTGCCTGCGCCGATAAAGTCCCATGACTGCGCGGCGAGCTGAATCTCAGACATCTGTACCTTGGAACTGGCACGCTGCTCTAATACCTTAGTCAAGAAGTCCTTGCGCGACGTCGTGTCCTGCTCCGCAACGCGCTTCCTCATGACCTGGAGGGCGAATTCGCCTCCCTTCCGCGCTGTCTCTTCGAGCTTGTTAACCTTTTCCCGGAAGAAGAAGCGAGCAATGGGGCCCAAAGCCGGAAATTGCTGAATGGCCTCGTGGAAGCTGGTGAACGTCAAAGACTCGTTGAGTTCGAGGATGAATGGGTGGGTGGTTTCCCTCCCGATGGCGCCAAAGTCTTGTCCAAAAGCCAGGTCACCGATGATGTCGAAGGTCATGGAGCTGTAGCCGAATGTTAAGTCCACGACGCCGCCGTTGGCTGTCTTGGTCTTGACGTGCTCGATAAAGCGGTCGATGTAGTCGTTGATCATGGGCTCCATCTCGTTCAGGAAGGAACGTGAGAAGGCGCCGCCGAATACCCGAGCAATGGCAGCGTGTTTCGTGGGGTCACGCTCCGTGATGATGGAGCGTACATCTTGGGCTGCAAAGATGCTTAGACCATCGTACCAGGTGCCTTTGACGAAGGTTTGGTGGCCCGGGCGGGAGCCGTAGATGTCTTTCCAAGCGCGGGCTGAGCTGAAGCTGAGTTCATTTGGTCCGTAGCGAACGATGTGGCCTGAGGTTCACAGACAAGTTAGTAGTGCTGGCTGTGGTTGTGCTATTTTGGAGACCATGAGGCACTTACCATATTTGCGGTGAAGCTTGAGGAGTTCATAAGATTGTTTACCCTGGAAAACCGTGTACAGATGGGGGATCTACAGGCGTCAGTGTTTGAGTCAAGCAGAGCTCTGAAAGATGGTGCATACGATGCTAATCTTGTTTATCCAAGGGCCAGGGAACTTGCGCAGGGGATGGAAGTATACGTTGTAGATGAACAGCTTGAAGACATAAAAGAGTACCAAAGGCCCGAGGAGAAGCCAGGCCAACTCGGGTAGGGTTTTGTTGTTGAGGATCTCCATCTCGATGCTGTGTTGTAGATGAGGAGTTCCGCTATTCGTTTTGAGTGTCAACCATAGGGGACGGAGGTCACCTTATAACTGTGGTGTTCGTTACTGTCTTCCGCTGCCAGAAGTCCCTCGCCGCCGGCCTAGTCCTTTTGAGGCTCTATCGTGTGTTAATTGGCAGCATGTGTTAGGGAATTCACCACGCCACCAAAAGCAAAGCGGCTAACCACTAGATTGAGATGGATCGCCACCCTCGGAATCTTCCCAAAATAATCACGCTATTACAGGCTCTATGTGCTTAACTCCTTGCTCATTATGGCCTTGCCGGTATATGCAGCTCTGGTAGTGTCTTTAGCGGTGCTAGCTCCGCAGCGGGATTTTTCTAATACGGGTAGTTGCCGTGTTCCGTAATAGGTCCGTGCGTATGGAGCAGTACCTCCAAGCTTCTTCCTATTTGGGCATTGAGCTTAAAGGACCTTTAGAAAGAAGCGAAAACGCGAGAACAGCGGCGTTGCCGCCGGCGGTCGTGGCAACTTGGGGAATAGGATCTGGGCGCGATCAAGTGGTGTGCAAATATTTAGTTATAAACAACACGCCCTTCGTCATGTAGACCTACGAAGAAAGTCCTATGAAGATTTGTTTTTTTAAAGCTACAAGACCGTATTTCTGCAAGACCACAGTCCAAGTTTAACACCAAAAATGGGACATTCTGCCAAAGACGAGGCCCCCGTCGTGGCCCTCCCCAAGTTGGGCTCCATTTTCACTAAACTCCTCCGCGATCTCAAATATCGAACGCCTCAGCATAAAGATACACGCCCTGCCCTCGAAGCTGCTATGCTCGAATATGCCGTCCGCTCGGGGGCTCCATACGAGTCTGAATATGCCCAGCGGTACTTCGATGTTGGACTTACCCTCGCTTGTGTATGTCTTCTTCTATGACTCCAGTACTATCTGCCTCGAGTTCGACGTATACTTAGACTTCTACTAACTACGCGAGTTAAGGCCTATTATCCTACTCATTCTTTTGCTGTGAAATTACACATAGCTATCTACTCCTGGCTAGCCATCTACATTGATGACGATGACGACGGAAACGAGGACCTTATCGGTTTCCAGGAGCGCTTCCAGAAGGGGGAGCCTCAGCCATCTGCTCTCTTGCAGCGCTTCGCAGAGAACCTCCAAGAAATGTCGATCCATTTCGAACCCCTCGTAGCCAACTTCATCGTGCTTTCGTCGCTGCAATTCGTCGCCGCCACCCTGCTAGAGAGACGCAGCGAGCTCCACAGCCTGCAGCACTGCAAAGAAGCAAAAAGGTGGCCCGACTATGTCCGCGACAGGAGCGGAGTGCCTGAGGCGTTCGCGTACTTCATCTTCCCGAGAGACGAGTGCCCGGATATAGGAGCGTATATGCAAGGCATACCGGATATGATGACTTACATTAACTACGCAAATGATATTCTGTCGTACGTATGGACCTGTTCCTGGCAGCCTATGACGTTCTCATTGTACCTGCAACGCTTGCTAACCAATCATCGTTGTCACAGGTTCCATAAGGAGACCCTCGCTGGCGAGACGGACAACTACATCAATACCCGAGCCGTCTGTGAGCAACGCGAGCCTTTTGCCATGCTCGAAATTGTCATTGCCGAGACAATCGCGGCAAATTCACGCGTGGTTGGGCTTCTGGACACCAGATCTGACCCCGTGTACGCTCGCAAGTGGAACGAATTCTTCAACGGCTACATCTTCTTCCACGTCACAGCTCGGCGGTACAAGCTGCACGTGTATACCGGGCTCGCGGATGTGGGAACCAAATGGCAGGAAGTGTTTGCAGGCTAGCTCAATTTGCTGCATTCATTTCTGCCGGCTGTGATGGAAAACTTCCTTCGCGCAGAGAACATATATTTCCTATCACCTTCTTTTTCTATATCTCTTTGACGAATAGCATGTTATATTATTTTTCTTAGAAAACAATATTAAACTGTACTCTAACCTACTACTATAACACATTTAAAAAAATCTTATATTTCTTCTAAACACTCAGATAACAACTATACACTATAACCCTATATATTTATCTCTAAATTCTCTATAACTAAAGTCTTGTTTTGAAATTTAAGATCCTTATATAAGAGGCTACCCTGAGGAAAGTGATAGCGAGGTATGTAAGAGATTGTAATTGATCGAGAGCTAACCTCATAAGGTATGTTCCTATCCATATATGATACTAATTACCTAAGTATTAATTAGACTAATAGAATCTAGATACTTAAGATAGTACTTTCTTTCTACGACTAGCGTCTAAATGTTGTTTAGATAGTACGTGAAGAATTAAGGTTCCTAAAGTAGTACGTAGATTCTATAAGTAGACTCATATTCTATTTAGAAGCTATCTAAACAGCTTTTAGTTTATTATAATACCTCTCTTCTTAAAGTAATACTATATTATCTCTCTAAAACCTCTCTGCAAGATTGCTCTTGCTATCTTGTCTAGCCTTTATAAATACTTTCTCATAATTCTCTATTGTTTTATTCTCTAGTAGCTCTACTAGTTTAAGTTTTATGTAGTAAAATCTTTCTTATTTCACTTTATGGTATATCTTATATTCTCCTTAATGTTAGAATAATAGGGGCTACTTATTCTATAGCTAGTTTAGAGGTAGATATATCTACTTATCTAGCGATAAACTTAGAGGTAGTGAATCGATAGGTTCTATATAGAAAAGAAATATTACCAGAGGAGAGAGATTAAAGAATTTGATTAATCTAATAAACTATTATTAATATGTAGTATCTTATAATCTACTCTAGTTTCTATCTACTAGCTATTCTACTACTATATATATCAGCTATAACTACTAGATTCTAAAAGAATCTATATAGTAGTATATTACGTATCTATAGACATAATACATAGATATTAATCAATAGTAGCGTAATAGCTTCTAGTAACGAACAAATTAAATTTTATTAAAGACCAGCTAAGTAGCCTAGATCTCTAACACCAAATAGTAGCGTACTTCTTTTATTATAATATCTTTTACGTTTTATTTCTTTTCTCTTTCTATAGTAGTTATGGCCAATAGTTATTATTAAGAGCGAAGAGACCTTTAAATAAGTATGTATTATCCTATAATATAGAAGAAGAAAGACAAAACAAGTAAAGCTATTATATTACGACTCTTACTTTATTATTTTACATAGTTAGAGTTCACTTGTATAAATAAGATTTTGTAATTAAGTAACACAAAGAGCATATATAATATTACTATGTATTCTAACTATATACGTAGTTTATTATAGCTACTCTACACCTAGTTAAGAAGTAGATAATTATAAGTAAGTTTTAATCTATATATGTACTTTAACTATGTATAAATTTAAATTTTAAATAGAGTGGGGTAATAAAAAAAAAGACCTCCAAAAGGTTGTACTTTTTAAACATCTATTGCTCAATGGGTATTAGCGCTAATCTAATAAAAAATATATCGTTGAATAGAAAGTTTCTTGGCGTTTAAGATAACGGTCTTACATAAGCGCTTAGTCAGCACTAGGAAGGCCATACATCCTCTTAAACGTAGAGTAAAAAAGTCTTCTCACTTTAGCGCTAAGTTTCGCGCTGTAAATTTTAACTTTTTTAATATAAGTTTATAGATATAGATATAGATAATATAGTATTTTAATATATATAGTACTAGAAAGTATGTGAGTAGAATATAGATAGATAGTAGAGGTAATGTACTTATTAGATAAAGAAAGAATAGTACTAGCTATATATTAACTAGTACTTAGTATACCACCCCTTAGCTTCTACTACTCTAGAATAACGTCTTGGCAAAGATAGAATATAGTTATCTATATCCTTTTGTAGTATTTTTACCTACTATTCCTGTTATGGGCGGAGAGGCCTAGCGAACGAGTCTGCTTCTACCTATCGTACAGAAGCTAAAAGATGAGACAAAGAGAAGATAACTAAGTACAGACTTCTCTTATACCTGCTCGCTTCTGATCACGTGTCCGTACAGAAGGTATATCACGTGGTCGAAGATCACGTGATCCCTTTAGTAGAGTGTTACAAGTAACAAGAAGGATCCTCTCCTTGACAAATGACGAGATGGCTGAAGGCTTATGGACGTCCACGTCAGAAGGTAATGATCATCGCGGGGCCTGGGGTCACGTGATGTGCCATCCCGCCAAGACAAGACATCCCGCCAAGCATGGGATGGCAATGGGATTAGGGATGGCATGCCATCACAGACATCCCGCCAAGGAGCAAGAAAATGGGATGGACGGGATGGCAGGACTGGAAGCAATGAGGATATAAGGATGGATGGATTTCATTATTACTCTCGTTGTGGTCAACTCAAATTGTACTTTCTTACTAGTATCTTTACTTAACAAGATTGTCACAAGTTAGTCTATCAAATAGATTAGTCTTGTCAAACCCTCCTTAAGCACGCCAACTCCACTGCATCGCCAGACAAGCCTCACGGAACACTAACGTAATACTCACCTGCCTTAGTGCGGACCAGGATAGAGAAGTATAGACCCTTACCCCGTGTAACAACTCTCTATAAAAACAAAAAACTACTATACTTATTATATCTAGTTATATAAAACCAATAACTTTAACTTTCAAATACAAA